GTTTTTTCAATATTTATAAAACAAAAATATAAAAAAAAGTTTTAGTAATAAAAATTTGTTATAGCTTTTTCATGAGGTAAAGTTGGTTTATTTTTATTGTTTTCAACTTGTTTAACTAATTTCTTTAACAGATTCTTTTTTTTCCTTTCAATGAAATTTGCCTTTCAAATCATTGCTGATTTGCATCTATCTATGGTGCAATTTGAATATTTTTTAATTAATTTTTTTAAAATTGGGATTAAATTTCAAGATTTGAATCTTTTTATTGCTGGATACAAGAGATGATGATGATGATGCAATAAATTGAAAAAATATTTTAAGGAAATTCTCATCTTCTTTGCTCGTTTGATGGCTGTTTTGATAGAGTGAAGTGCACTTGATGTTTGCAACATTTAATCGGAGTTTTTGATTTTTTTAACTTTTTGACTCTGCAGATTTTGTATCTTAATAATTAAGGTTGATTTTATTTTTAAATATATTAAAGCTGCTCTGAAGTTGTAAGGGTGTTTTCAGGTGGATTTCTGTCAAGGCGTAGAAACTATCCCAAACAATCCCTGAGCCTGTGTATGCATTAAAATTGAGATATCCCATCGAATCGCAAGATTAAATGTTAAATCCACTAACGATTCGTTGATATTTTTACTTTCGTGCATACAGGCTGAGGGATTATTTTGGATAGTTTTGGAATATTTAGAATAGTTTTCACGCATTGATTTTTGAGAAGCTTGAGATCAAAAGTTTGAAGCTTCTAAAATTTCACAAATCTTAAAACTAAGATCGTGAGCTGCTGTTTTTAATGACTTTAATTCTTCATCTGATTACTATTTTATAGTCTGATCATTTCGGTAACAGCACGTAATGTCGTGAGCATTGTCAGATTATTTGTCATTTCGACAAAAATCTATATAACGATTGAAAGATTGGTCTCTGTTCGGAGTCGAACCCACGTTCTCACAAAAGAGGGTTACATTTTTCCTGTACGTAGCCTAACCACTTGAACAGTTAACAACACAACGGTTATGGATTCAAAACTATTAGGAATCATATGTACTGGAAATGAAATTAACACCCTTTCTTTGAAGACCATATGGAATAATGTCATTAAAGGAGTGGTTCCCAGATCTGATCTATAAAGTGATTGGAACCAATTTTTCGGCAAGATTAGGAGCTGATAAACTGAATTTTAAACATTTTTGATAATTTTTGATAAATTTTATTCATTTTGATCAATTCTACACTTGATATATCTGTAAACACTACTGGATTTTTCCCCACTCATCTCCGTCCATGCTAGCTCCTTGCCTTAGCGCTACGTAATATTGACCCAATCTCTTTGCTTTTCGCACAATTTCACTATCAGAACAATCAACATTTCTTACTTTTTGCACTGATTCTACAGATAGATTAAGATTTCTCAAGAGACATTCGACCATGAAAAGTTAAACCTTTTTTAAACCTCTTTAAAGCTATAAAGATAACAAAATGATATCATCTTAAAATGTCTATGTTTACCAACAAAAATACTGTATTTATTTTAAATTAATAAATATAATTGAACAAAAACAAGTGATCTGTTTCGAAAAAAAGTGTGACTCGTACGTGTTTCTATGGTGCTTGGAACTGTTTTCGGTATAGAAAAAAGGACTTTTAAAGTTGTTCGTAGTTGAACCTGAATAAAGAAAATCCAAGGTACTGATGAAATGATCAAAAATCATCAAAATGTAATTAATCAGTTCCACACCATTGACTAAATCTGAAATTGCTGCAAAATTTAAAGTAATATTTTCCAGAACTTTACGAAATTCATTTCCATTTTTAATTAAAGTTTCATAACTCCACAAAAGTAATAAATTCGTCTCAACACAAAAAGGTCTGTTTTTTAAACAAATACAAAAAGTATTCGACAAAACATTATCAGCCCCAATTTTTTTAGATGTTTTAAACGGTCATTAAAAAGCACTATTTCATTTCTCCTTGTCACATGTTTTTATCATTGAGGTTTTAATTATTATTACATTTTTTTTTTCGCCACAGCTATTCATTTTTCTAGACAAAATTTATTAAATGTCAAGTCAGATTAGGCTGAAAACGAGAGAATGTTTCATTATTTACACTCGTAATTCATCATATATGTGGAAGATAATGTGTATATCTGACTTAAACACGGCACGTGTTAAACGCGTTGATACCAATTATTTCATATTACAATTCACGAGCACATTGCTGTTCTATATCAAATGAAATGAAACAGTAAACTGTATGATAGCGAGGGCATATTGTATATTGTGGGGGGAGGGGATTAAAGTGCGAAACATTTTTTTTCCAGATAAGCGGACTGATTTAATTAATATGTGAGTTGTTGAGATAACATTCGGTGAGAGTATATCGGTATGGAGGATAGGGGATAGACTGCAAAGCTTTCAGTAAAATAACAATAAATCATTTTTCATATCGTTGAATATTTGCGAGGCGAAAACATATATATAAAGATGAATAAATTCCGATTCAAACGCCCACTCAAATATGGTTTTAGATATGCGGAACGAATGAAGCTTTAGATATTTCTATTATGTATTTAAAACTGAGCTGTAGTCAGGTGGCATGGGTCATTCAATATTGGTTTTTTTTCACAAAGTTAAATCTAGGAGATCAAGCAACATATACTTGAAACTGTCAATACGAGAGCTTGGTTTGGAAGCAGTAAAAAAAAAACCGTGACCCTATCTTTTGTGAGGACATGGGTTTGATTCCTATGAAATGATGATCTCTTAATCTTTAAATGAGTGCTGTAAAATGATATAAAAAAAATAAACTTTCGCATTCAGACCTTAAGATCCATAGCTGCGCGCTTCAAGGCTAATCACAGTTTAACGAGAGAGGGTTCGCCAGACCTCCAGCTCAAACCTAGACCTACAGTTTAAAGTGAGATCCGAACCACTCCTCTGAGGACATTTTTGCCTGTAGCCTACAAAAGAAGGCTGTGAGTCTCGTTTCCAGTACATATGAATAAGGAAAATATGTAGCTTTGTGATGGAGCTGGCTCATTGGATATTTGAACCTTATTGTAAGAAGAAAGAAGGCAACTTAGTTAAATGCCAATCAATCCAAGCCAATAAAGTTGATCAACATCATATCAAGCTCTTAATTTAATAGATATCTTCATTAGCTACTAGAAGTAAAACAAGAACTGGACTAGATTTACCCGATAAATAGCTGTAAATAGCTCAAAAAGGAAAACTGAATAAAATATTGCACCACTGGCATAAAATACAAATTCACACATATTTTGTGACTATTGTTTTCCATTCCAAAGCATTTTTCCGTGTGAATTTCTCACCGTCATTCTAACAGATGGAGCCTGTTTTTTATTCAGAATCAAAATTTTTCCCTTCAATTTTTTTAGATTTCAGTGGAAATATTTAAGCTTTATGAGCGGGAAAAAAGTATTCATGAATGAAAAAGTTTGAACATTTGGGTTTTACGCTTTAAAAAACTTTTTTGGTTTATGAATCGAGCTGACGATTGCCGATTCAAGTGAGCTTGAATTTTAATTGTCGAGTTATTTGAACAGCTTTATGGAAATTTTATATTGAGTGGATTGTTGAATTTTTGTGAAGAACTTTTGAGTTCATTGATGAATATTGAGGAAGTGGATGTTGGGGATTTTTTTTGGGAATTCTGAGTAATGAGCTTCTTTTTTTGGTTGCTTGGATAAGATGAAAGATTTGGGTGATTTTTTGATGAAGCAACCTTGAAAGAATGGTTGATACTACGGAGATAATGATGGCTGTGAAAGTGTCTCAAAGAAATTAAGAACTAGCAAATATCTCATTCAATGGAACGTTTTACTTCATTTAAGAGATACGATACAGGTCGCCTGTCACAGATACAGGTGACAGATCTATCACAGATATAACCTGTTAACAGGCACTGCTTGCCAAAAAAATAAGCAATGCACGTGACAGTCAGTCAACTGTGACAGGCAGTGTATGTTAACATGCAATATCTCTGACAGATCTGTCATCTTTACCTGTGACAGGTGACCTGTATCGCAACTCCGCTCCATAATGCACCTCTAGCAATTCCACTTCACCAACTTAAGTACCAAAATAACACAAAAAGCTTGATGACTTGATAACCATCAATTTCTTCGTATTCATATCAAAAGCATGTGACTATATTGTCATAGCATGTGGACGTTAGTTACAACTTTGCAAACATCAAACAAATTTTGATTCAATGGAAAATCCATACAGCAAAAATCAAAGTGATAACAAAATTTTTGCTGGGGTTTTTCCTTGAAAATTGAAAAGGTTTGACTTGATATCAATTGCAGACGCTTTAGGGACATATTGTGAAAGTCTGAATAAATTCAAAAGATTAATGAACATATTGTATCCATGGAAACATGACGCACGGTAAAGTTCAGCTGTAATTTAAACCAAATATTCAGAAGCATTTTCATGGAAAATCTCAACTTTACCATTAGCGTAGGAAGTGAGAAATTTCCCTAAAGTCAAATCACAATTTCCATCCAAAACGAAAAATTTCCAAGGCTTAACAGCCGCAACATTGTTTCACCGATAATAAATCCATCCATCCTTGCCATTTAGACACTCCACCAACAGCATCTGTAGTAAAATTGTCATCAACATTTAATTTTTTTCAGTCGCACTTCACACCGCATTTCGTGATGAGACTTTCTAATCCAAACAGAACAGATATAATTAAAAATTCAAGATAAAACAATTTGCTTCAAAAAATGCCATGATGAAATATTAAGTGAGCTTATGGTGAAATACATAACGATTCTCATCTTTTATGGCCTCAGCTCGAAAGATTTATTGATTGCGAATAAAAAGCCATTTGTTGCAGAACACAATAGGCTAATCTGTTTCAATTTTGCAATAGTAAAAATGTCTTTCCTTTTAGGGGTCGGTTCACTTAGTACGGAGGAGACTTTTTGAAGGAATACGGCCGGGGAGAGAGGGGGGTGGGGGGTGGGGGCTTGAGATGTTGTAAAAATTTAAAATCATGAATCATGAATCAACATGAGGAAGTAGAGGATGACAGGTCAAAAACGTCATTATTCTGCATTACGTTACAATCGCATAGTCCCTTATCTCTTTATTGCTCGTTACAGAACATCAAAAATTTTTATGGATCTGTTTTTCATTCATTTCAATGTTTTCCATCCCAACCACAGAGTAAGCCAGTCGCTCGTGCCGTCGAAGTGATAACGTATAGTGCAATGCACATCACACACGCTTCTTGATTGACGACGCGCTTATCATTGTCAATAATATAAAATTTATACACACTGTATTGCGATGGAAGTAAATAAAAATAAAAAAAAATTAATCGACACAAGCTGCCGACATTAATTGCTATTTGGCTATTTCTGGATGATGTCGAAATTTAATTTACCGCGAGACGAACTTTAAAAAAATAAGGAGAAATAATTTAGCAGCTGTATTGTGGTCATTGGCATAATTAATTTCTGCTCTTGATCTTTTTTTTTATTTTATTTATCACTTGATCGTCTTGATCCACCTACATTGACAAACACACAGTGATACACAGCTTAACACGTGACGATGTGACTGTTATTAATAAAAAGACATTAATCACAAGCTGTTGTAAATAATCTGTGGATGCTTTAAGAAATTCAATGCGTGTGATTCAGCCATGAGGTGTACGTACGTGGATTAAGACATTTCATTTAATTTAATCGAAACGGAATTGGCATGCAAAATTTCTTCAATTATGAACCAGTGGGTGTTGAACGTAGAAAGATAGCAAGCTTCACATTTCATATTGTAGACTCAAGGGCAAAAATTAAATACCAAAAAAAGAGTGCTGCTATATTTAGCCACAAAATGCTCGATCACGATAAAAAGTAAGCACACATTTTAACTTGTGCTTGTTTTTTCGTGTCGTGATAAGGAAGTTCTTGACGAAAAAAAAAAATGGAACACAATTAAAAAGAAGTGACATCAACTCAATTTTGCCTCCACTTGCCGTAATCTTATCATTTAAATTGAAGAAGAAGGAAAAGTCATTAAAAGTACGAACCGAAAAAAAAAATTTCAACGCAATTAAGACTTAAAAGAAGGCAAAAGCACAGTCGAGTGGAGTCTAGCAACACACGTGATGTACATGATGTTTTTCACATGCTTCAATTTCTTGTTCTTATCAGCAATTTTTTTTTTATTAATTCATATTTGCTTTAATGGTTTCGATAAGAGTGGCGAGTTAGCAAGCGAGCCTATACATACATCAAGCTAGCTACATAGTCACTTGATTATGTGCTGACGACATGATTTATTTTCAGCTTACAATGACAAAGTTCATTTGGTTGAAAAAGAGAGTAAGTCTGTCTGATTAAAGTTGCTATTTCCTAACACCATTTATCATCTTGGATCATGCCCTTCATTAATGCATTTTATCATTGGACAGAAACTTAATTGGGATTACACAAAATAATAATAATTTTTTTTATCAAACAGTCGCGTGTATATCGCAACAAAATTCCGTGCCTTTCTTATCAGCTTAAGCACTTAAGGCATCAACTTCAAATGCGTCTATAAATCACATTCACCCAGTCAAAAATCAACACAAACTCGAGCTCTTGTTTTTCATTCCTTCTGCCATGAAATATTGCTCTTCTTATCACTTAATTAATATTTATTTGCTCATTCCAATGCTATCAGCAGTTCGTTTTTGGAACGTTTACAGCACATGATGATAAACACGAGTTTTATTTTAGAAATATAATTTCAAAGTAAAGTCGAAATAACAAGCCCCTGTACATCATCATCAGACTTATATTATCAATATTGTACACGATCGTGACGTCAAATGAATGAAACATATTTTTTTTGCTGTACGTTCGCAACCTCTTTGTGAGCTGGTTTAATAATTTTTTGTGTACGGAAAAAATGAGATGTGTAATGTATGCACAGAGTTGTTGAACTGGGAAATGAGGTTAGAGGAATTTTGAGAAGTTATTAATTTTTTGGGTTTTAGCAACGATAAGGATCTGTGAAACTTGAATATAGTGATTTCTTTTGAACTTACAAACGTTGGGTATACATGTCAAAATGGTGTGGTCTTAAATAAAACACTTCCTACTTAAATTTTGATGATTAAGCAACGTTTGTGGTTAGGAAAAGGCCACGTCAGAATCTAAACATCGCTCCTCTCAAAATAAAAATTGATCTGGTGGGTTCGAACCCTCTTAGAACATATGGATACACCCCTGAACTTGATACTTTGTGACCAACTGTATTACTAATGGCAAAGTCTATCAATAGGTCATGAGTTCGATACATATCCAGCAGTAAGTCTCAACTGAACACCTATGTATCACCCCTGCGCATGAATATTTATCGAACAAATGTTAATAATATGAAAATTGCGCACATATGCCAATTAGTGAATATGTGCTAATTGCCTTTTGATCAATTATTCAACATGGGTAGTCAATATGTGGAAATTAATCCCCCCAATCGATTTCTTGGAAGTTCCGACTTTTTATTTCTCTTTCTACAAACACAAATTAAAGACGTTTGACTTTTCGAGAACAAAATCGTGCATTGTTAATTAATCGGATTTAATTAAAATTTCTTTGTCATTTTATTGATCACCGAGTTATTGAACAGTTTTGAACTTTTCTTTGTCTCCAACATACTTGATTCAATTAAAACTTATATTTCTTTAACCTTTTTTTATTGTGGAAATAGTCAATAAACTTTCTTACAAGGATAAAGTAATTCCTCATGTATCGATCATGCGAGACATTCGAATGGACATTTTCTCCATTCCAACAATGTGAATCATCTTAATTAAGCTGTATTTCCTTATACATTTTTGTCTTTCGAACAATTTCTTATTTATTTACGGATGAGTGTGGTTACTAATTACTTCAATGAATTTTACAACATGCTGATAAATGACAAACCTGACTTTTTATTGCTATTGCTAATTTGTTATGAATTACTTTTGTAAACTGAAAAAATAGGGGAATGGAATTACTCATTGTTGGTAAAGAATGTTGATTATTCCGTTTTGTAAGGCATGAAGGGTTAGACTTGAGTTTGATGGCTTGTGCAGTTGTGTTGTCTTAACATAGTGGAATCTGTGGTTTTGAGAAATATGTAGTTAAGTTGTCAGTGACAGAGTGGGTCTTCTTTGGCCATAGAGCTAAACAACAAGTCAGGAATCTGTCATTCTTTTTTATAAGAACGTAAGTTCGAATCCTACTAGAGACTCAAGGTAAGATTCAATCGCTCAAGTCATTTGCCGATACAATGTCGTTAAGATAAAATTAGATTGTGTTCGTTGTTGCACAATTGCCCTTTAAGAAAAATCATTTAAGGGTATGGACATAGTTGGGATAGTCTAGACCAGAGCTCGAATTTTATAAGGCAGATTCTACTCTGAGTCGACTCGACTCCATACAAAATTTCATCAACTTCTAGCTCTGGTCTAGACTTCCAAACGGACCCTCCCAGGTTTCTCTTAAGATCCTGGCTAAGCTAATGGATCTTAAATTCAAAAAATTAATATCTTAAGTCTTTAAATTAATGTATCCTAATATTAAAAATTTCAAGACCGACAACCTACACCGACTTCTGTTCTAGCAAGTTTATACAAAAAATTGGTTTTCCCTTAAGTCATCTAGAATGAAATTTTCAAGTGCATCTCAATAAAAAATTGAAAAAAAATTCTAAAAACCCCCTCATTTCACATTTCATAAGCAAATATCACTCAAAAATATTTATCATCTCATCAAAAATTCAATTTCATTTTCTTTATTATGATTTTATTTGAATGCTATTGACATTTAGCTCACATATTGTTATTATTATTTGATTAAATGTCTGTCATCTTATACCAACAAAAAATGTAAGAATCACGCGATTCAGAACAACAAAAACGGCAGCTATTGACAAAGTTTTAATTTTATAGATGTAAATATCAACTGTAAACATTTGCTAGGCTTACTTTCGAAATTATTTTAATTTCAAATTCTACAAAATTCTAATTAAATGTTGGAAGTAAATTTGATGATAAAATTAGAAAACGAGAATGTTTACAGCTACGAAAAATACAAAGTAAAGAACACAGAAACTTGAAATGATACCTCAATTTAATCACTAATGTGCATGTTCTATCCTTTCATCAGAGACAGCGAAGAAGTAGAAGAATGAAAAGCAATTAAGAGTGTTGATTACTGTTGCTTAGAATTCACCTGCCTGCCCTGCGTTGAAATTACTAAGATAGGAATAGATTAGAATTGGAAGCAGGGAAGTTTATGGTCTCCGGGGTTTGGGATGCGGACAAGAAGAAGCACATAAAATATTTTTATTCCTTCCTTCTTTTTTTCCTCTCTCTCGTTTCTATCTCTCACAATTTGTTCTTTGTTCATCTTTTGTTTTACGAGAATGATGGGCTACGGAAAAAAAAAATCGGACCACCTATTGTGAAGTTCCTCACTCACACTGTCGATTTGTCAAAAAAAGAGATTCTTTTTTTATCTCCAGAACAAATCATTTGAATCGAAAAATAAATGAATAAAAACCGTAAAACCTCTGCTTTGATAAAAAAAAGTTATTTGTCTATAGGGGTTGTTCGTCAATAATGTACATGGGATAGAAAGATTTTTTGAAGACACATTTTGAAGGGGTTTATAAAGCTGAAGTCGTCGAGGTCCTTTTTCGGAATAGTTTTTGTGGTTCTAATTTTAATACCCAACCTGCAGCGCCCTTTTTTTGGAGATTTGACTCCTGGTCGACACTATCTTGCACGATTATCATCAATTCTCATAGATTCTGGTTCGATATAAGATACTCTTTTTATGAGACACGTTTAACTTCTAGGCATTAACAGCAAATGTGTAGCCAGGGTCATGTAGAAGGTAGCATTTTGAGAAGAAACCATATCAGCTGATTTTTCTGTTGTTTTTCAACAAAATGATTTCAAAATCTGCTCTAAAATTTTCAACCCATTCTCATTCTCTGAATTTTTGGCTACATCCCACTAAAATGCAAGACATCATTGATGAACAACTCCATAAATATATCCATCGACCGAAGGGGTGGTGATATTTATTCGGGTAAAATTTCAATTCCTTGTCCAATTTTTCTTCAGTGTGTTGGCATTTTTTAAAGGTCAGACAATTCATCTTCATGCTCTCCTTATGTTGCAATAAAGAATATTAATAGTTACAATTTTTTGAGAAATCAATCAAATTCAGACATGACTGACATGGTAGAAAAAATTTAAGTGTAGCAAATAAAGTTGCAGCTCTTTTTGATAAGTTAATTAAGAAGTTTATTTTATGCCCGAAAACTAAACAATGAGAAAAATGATATGCAAAAATTGTAGAGCATTTATCTCGACATAAAACCATCTGCCATGTTTAC